CTAGGAGCTGGTAAATGGTAATGACTCCCATACCCCACTAGAAGAAGGGGGTAAATGTGTTGGAGAGTCCGGAGGAATGCACCACTGGAGACAGTGCGATGGGTTACCGCAAAACCCTATTATGAAATGCAGACCATTCCTGATTCAGTCAAAAGAAGGAGTGGCAGGGATGGGCAGCAATTCCCTTTAGCTTTACTCATGTTAGTACATAAATGTATGGTCCAGAGCAAACATATTCATGACACAAAACTCTTCATAGTGTTTTGTGTTACTGACCAGAAAGGTTGTACAGTGCGGGTTTAAGAATAAATATACCTATTCAAGCAACACTCGCCACTGAGCGAAATCCATATATGCGATAAAGGCCCCTGTACAAAAGAAAAGTAGAAAAAGAGCACCTACCCACTCATAGAAAAAACATGGAGCTCAAGTTGGCAATGAGAGGTATATGGTAACCTGTAGAGCAGGAAACGGCCAGACGATGAAAATAATGTGAAATAAACATATGGGGAGTGGTCCACATGCTGGGAAAAACTATACCCTCTAATGTACAATGGAATCGGGCAGCCAGGTACATCATAAGGTGACAGATTTGATGGGAGAAGACTTGGAATATACAATAATCATACAACAGAGAAGAATAATCCAGGCAAATAATCTGGTGAATCCAACTCATAAGGGTAACAAGAGAAATATCACAGGGAAGGGTTTCAATGGATGAATGAATGGGGAACCACAGAAGGGAGCAGTGTGAGCCACATAACAGTGGAGAACCCAGAGGGCATAAGAGACAATCCAGATCAGAAAGATGTTAACTTTATTAGGATGGCACCATTTTTAAGCCCCTTTTCTGTGCATGTTACTGTGTTACATTCAAAATTTAATTAAACCACTTTACTGTCAATGTATTTCAATGAAAATATTATTATCAAGTATGTTATAATTGAAAGTTATATATTATCTAAGTTTTTATTCATTTCTTTTAAAAGAAACCTCTAAAACAATAATTAGAACTGCATTTTTTTTTGTACGAGTGCCTTTGTGGTTAACAATTATCAACTTAAAGAGCTGGTATAGAAGAAACTGCATGTGTAGCTTTGACATTTCTATTCAAGTGGTCAAAGTACAGTGTATACAGGTTGTTTACAAGTAATTCAAAAATATTCCAAGAACTTGTGCTGGATGAAATTGTTGTAAAAAACTCCCAAATTTAAGATAAAGCACACTCACTTGCAAAGTAGAAGCTGTGTTGCTAAGCAACAGTTTTAAATTGAATGGCATGCTTATATCCAGCAGAAAGAGCAGATTTTGCAGAATTTTTGAGAAATAAAAGAGGGAGAAATGGTAGTAAAGTTGGATACCAAAAGCCCCTTGTCGATAAGCCAGATAAAGAAGGAAGTCAGGTGCAGGAGAATAGGATGGGACAGAGGGACATGAGTAAAAGACCAATGGCAGTAGACATACCACTTACACTGGTAAATGAAATTTAGGGACCGTCTGACAAGGGACCAGATAAAAGCCACAATGTGAAGACAGACTGTAGGAATGGAAGGATGTAGCATGCCTGAGTGGGGATGTCTGAGGAGGGTGGGGAAGAGGGGAAGAGGAGGTGTCAATAGGACAGGATGCAGAAGTGAAAACCATGACTGTACTGCCCAAAGTGGTGCCCCCAAGAGGATGTGACATGGGGTGGTGTGGATGATGGAGAGGACATGAGGAAGAAGACAGATGGGAGGATATGCATAAAGGGAAAAGGTCCCCAATCTTGACTGAGGGTATTGACAGCTACAGCTAAAGGATATGGAATTGGGGCCAACACCTGAGAAGCTTGGAATGCAGTTGGGTGTTGAAGTAATCCAGGTCTGGAGTACTCCACTGGGAACATAGCTAGCCAAACACCTGTGGGTTGAGGGAGCACTTTGTGGGGATAATCATGTTGGGGCACAATAAACGAACCATGACCAGATTCAGGGACCAGGTATATGATACACCAACTAGCGAATATGATGGTTGTTGGCCCAAAACAGGAGATTCAATATGTGGAAACAAAGAGACCTCGAGTGAGTGCCCCTTGCAGAGTGAAGGACGATACAGCCACTGAGTTGTTGGAATGGAACACAACCAACTGGGTCTGGAAAGATGGAAGAAAGTGAAACAAAGCTTGAAGGACAGGAAGCAATTTGAAAAGACTGAGATGTAGAGATGATTTGTCGATAAACCAATGACCTGAAACCTCCTGTATGTCTAGATATATACCCCAAACCAAAAGAGAAGCATCCGTGAAGAAGTATACCCCTAGACAAGGAGAAGGAAGAGGAACACCTACTGTGGAGTTGTCTCTGTCCAGCCACCAGAGGAATTTCACATGAAGGAAAGGAGAAAAATGGATAGGGGTAGCCAAGGTATCCCAAATGAGGTTCCACTGATCTAGTAAAGCCAACTGAAGAGGCTGCATGTAGGCTTGACCAAGTGGGATTAGGGCTTCCAAAGAAGCCCATGTCCCCAAAAGAGACAGAACCTCTCACTCAGTGGGAGAAAGATAGGAGGAAATGGTCCAAACGAGAAGCATCACAGATTGCAGGCAAAGGGGAGAAGGGTGGGTCCAGCAGAGACAGGAATTGAAAAATATCTCGAGATGAACAAGGAGTTGAGTGGGGGGAGAGGAAGGACTTCTCCACCTTGACCAGTCAATCTATCCATGCAGCCACTTGAATAAGAAACTGAGAGTGAAGGGAAGAGGTGGCACATGAAGGAGCTAGAAGCAGCCAATCGTCCATATATAGGTGGAACAAAGGCTCCTGGAATGGAGAATACAAGCAAAGGACTTGACAACCTGACAAAAACATATGGAGCTGAAACTAGCCCAGAATCAGTAAACACAACCATAATGGACAAAAAAATGTGGGGGTAAGCAAAGACCAAAAGTGAAAGCCCATCAAAGCAATAGGTATTTGGTGAATTGGGAAAGGTCTAGGAAGCAGTTCAAGGAAGAGGAAGCAATGATGGGATGCCAGTCCCTGGTCTTCCTGGGAACTCTGAACAAATAAGAATAGAAACCTGGCTGAGAAGGATCTCCCTGTTCTATAGTGCCCTGGTGAAGAAGATATAGAACTTACTTAGAAAGATACTGGCTGGAAATAGAATCCCATGGAAGGAGGAATGATATGGGTTTGGTTTGTTATGAATTTTGCACAAAACTACACAAGGGCTATCTCCACTAGCTGTCCCTAATGACAAAAGGTCATTCTAACCCAAAAGATTCCAACAACAGAGGAGCCATATGGATAGGGAAAAGGCAAAAGAGGACAATCATGCAAGCATGGAAAAAAAATAACAGGACATGAGCCACCCCCGAAAACCACACAAGGGAATGATGAAGAGCCTCAGACAGAAGGTGAATCAAAGAAAGGGAACAAAGGAGGTGGATAACATGAAGCAAATACAGCAAGCAGTGGGATCAAAAATCCACAGAGGCAGTAGAGAATCCAACTACTGGGAGTCCAAAAAGGGAAAAGCAGACCTATGCTAAGCCACAGTATGGTCTTCCATATGGCATGCCATACTAGCCACAGAACATAATTGGTCTGCAAACCTAATAGCATGAACTTGAATATTCAGTGAGGTGAGGGAGAACAAGATATTGGCCTGAAGGTTTCTCACTTAAAAGGAAATGGGAAGACAAAGAAAAAATTTCACATATCTGGTTTTATTAACTCCAAGAAAGGAGGAAAGCCCAGGCTCTGACCATGTGGCACAT